CATACATAAATCTTCTATATCAATCAAACAACCAAAAACTTATATTTTTAATCCATGAATTGATAATTTTAGTTGAAAAATTCCACCTACCTTCGATTTTATCAGCTTTTTTCTTCGAATTGATATTTATTTTTTTTTCAAAAGATTTGAGAAAAAACAGAATATCATCTAGCACGAAAATGTTTAACTAGAAAAGTTCCAAAGTCAATTAACATTCGAAGTTTCTATTCGAGTCACGATTGGTGGTTTCAGAAACGATGAAATGCTCGACATCAGACGTCAAAATAGACTTATAAAAATGTCGATGAACATTTTCAACGAATAGGACGATTTTTACGAAGGTTCTAGTTGGCAATTCTCCAACCTGTTCCTATCCTCCGTTGATGTCGAAGCGGAATAACGGCTAGAGAAAAAGATATTTCTCCGGTGGGAACGTTTTCTCGAGGTCTGAACACCCGTTGTAATTGATGTTCCCTAGATTAGAACGGTTCAGTGTCGCGTATTTTATTTTTCTACGGGGTTTTCTTATGGGGTACTGGAAAATTTAGATGGAAATGTAGATAAATTTAGTCTGGTTTGATACGTAATTCTATCATTCTAAATGAGAAATATTCAAATGGAAATTGTTTTAATTAAGAAATGTTGGAATCAGAAATATTCCATGGAGGGAATACTGAATGGAGCATTCAAATACAAAATATTCTCAATTAGAAATCTTCATTTAGAAGTGGAAAATATTCAAATAGAAAGAACTGAAATAGAAGATATTCTAAATTAGAAATATTTTAAGTGAAGGATACTCAAATAGAAAACATTGAAATAAAAAATATTCTAAATTGGAGATATTTAAATAGAAAATATTTAAATGGAAAATATTCTAAATTGGAAATATTTAAATAGAAAATATTCCAAGTGAAAAATATTCAAACGGAAAGCCTTGCATTAGAAGATATTCAAATTGAAACAGCACAATATGTAGGTAATAAACTCAAATAATTAACCCAACGGCGCGAATAAGCATTGTAATTCTATAACTAACAATAAAGGATTTTCAATACCTGTGGGACATTAACAACAATACTAGATGCTGGGTTCGCGGTTTGGTACAAGTTTCGAACAAGTATCTGCGGCTAGGTAAAAGCGCTTAATTGCCCAAGTTCCTTGGCCCAGTTCACGTCCCCCTTTCTTGAGGTTTGTATCGTGTAGCAGCCGGTCGAATTTCGATTCCAGAAAACAAAGCAAACCACCTCGAAAATTGTTCTCGACAGAAGGGACGGAATGAGATGTAACGAACGAACGGACGTTAATTGATGAGGATCCTCCAGCTGTTTGCTCCTTCGTTAACCTTTTATCTGACGGCCTAACGTTGAAATAAATAACAAGTGTAATCAGGGTACGATAGGGTACAAAAATGTGATATTGACTGTGTGAAACTTTAAATTAATTTAAAAAAAAAAATAACTATGATCCGATAATCATGGCGATTGTACTCGAAAAACATCGGTTCGAGCTATTTAACGCGGAAAAACGTTTCCGGAAATGCGTTTCAGTTTGCGTTTCTCATCGGAATTGTCCTAAAAGCGAGCCACGTCGGCTCGGAAAGGCCATTTTCGGCTGGACGAATAATGTAGTCCGGCTACGGAGCGAAAAGTGGCAGGTCATCTCAGCTCGATGGTAACGGAATAACGAAGCGAGCGTTATACAGCTTCCCAAAACACTCGTGCATTCAGCATGAAGTTTGATAAAGTCCTTTCAATTGATACTTAATCCATCGAAGAAACACTCCAATTGAGATCATACAAATGTAACGTTGATTGCAATTAAAATTTGTTAACGAACTTGTAATTTACTCTTGCTTCAATCTGAAAGTAATTAAATAAATCTATACATCGTTTGGAGTGCAATTCATAAACTTTAAAGGTAATTAGAATCTATTTAAATTCGATGCAAAAGCTCGAGAACTTTGCAAATTAATTATAATGTTATTAGTGAATTTAAATCGAATCGAAATTATTTTAATTTCAGAATATACAAAATTAAGATGAAAAATTGTTGAAATTGAAAGATGAAAATATCTCATTTTGAATTATTTATAGCGTTAAAATGAAATTGCAAATTTTCGAAGTTCCTACATGACGGAGAAGGTCGTTGTTCCGCGAAAGCTGATTAACTCGCTGATTAATTATTGATCCGCGGAAAGGGGAATTTCCATAATCCAAGTGTCCCTAGCATCGCGATCCGACGCGAGGCTGTTTCTGCAAACGCTGAATCGTTCCATATTTATCGCGAGTGCTCGACTTTCGAGGATCGTCGCCGCGTTCAATGTTTCGCGTTCGCATTAGCGAAACGTCTTGAGCCGTTTTAATCCCGAGCCCGAGTTCTAATGTGGCTGTCGCGTGAAAATTAGACTTTAACGGGCGAGTACCCGGAGTTTGCCGTATTCGCGCCGCTCTGTTTCCCGATTTAACGCGAATTGAAATTTTCGAAGTAATAAATTACTGGTTAAAACGAGAAGAATTAGAAAATAGAATTAGATTCTTCGCCGTGTGTTTATTTCTGATAGAACTTGTTGAAATGCATCGACTCGCGTCGCGACGTCTAATATATTCTAAGAGGGCTGCATTAGAGGTCTGTCAATCTTGATCACCGTAATTATCTCTAGGGACACGGAATTTGTTTCCGGAGAAGTTGGCGCAGTAAATTTGACCGTTCCACGCTAGCTTATTCCTTATTCCGCTCGATGATAATTACAGAGTGCAGCGATTGCAACGATGCAATTTGAAAGTCCGAAACGAGTGGCTCTCGTGTTGTCTTCCAATTCGGCTAAGGTAACACCGAAACTCCCTTTTCTATCCTCTTAATTGCGAAATATCGTTCCGGTGTAATTGTATAGTATAGCCGGTGCCAAGCAGGATTTTCAACGAGACAAAAACCAGGCCGCCATTTAAACCGGTGCATACATTGCACCGTCGGTGAATATTCGACGTCGCAGAAAATTCACTTTTGGAAAAAGTGAAACGCGGTGAATGGATCATTTGGCGGCGGCGAGCTGGAAAATACGTAATACTAGAGTTTCGACGGTGAATTTTTGGCGAGTACCAGGCCGCGGATGCGCGATACAATTTGCATGGAAATTAAAATATCGCCGTGCGACTGTACGTCGTGAATGGATATTGTAAATTGATGTTGAAGACTTTCGGAACCAAGTTTTTCATCTTCTATGATAGAAGATAGTAAAAAGAATTGATTAAAAATTTTATTTTCAAATATTTAGATTAGAATGTGTAGGATAGTGGATATTCTCTAGTATTAAAAAACGCTTAGTCATAGGAATACGTTTATTAGTTTAGATTAAGATAATTTACAACAGGGTCATTTGGTCACCCGTCGAGGGCCTGCAGGCCTGGCGAAGCGAGGACCTTACGTCATTTGTACTTTAGTCGTTAATCGTAGTTTTGTCATAACTTAGTTGTTTTAGTCGTAATTTGTCGTAGTTGTAGGAGAGGGGAGAAAAAGGCGTTTCGTCTCGGGATCGTCTGTCAGACTGGTCAGTGGGGCTGACAATAGAGGTGTGCGAGATAATGCATAAGTCGCTTGATTTTTATTATTTTTGTACCAAAAAATTATTATAGATATATGATTTATAACTAAATACATCCTTGAAGTTTAAAAACATTAGATGTAATATTTCTTTAAAAAAAAAATTCCCGAAAATCACCTAATTTTAGAGCGGTCACACTGGTATAGCTAGGACACCCTGTATATTCAAATTGAATTCCGGGCGACCGCTAGCGAGAACAGTGACCAGCGGTTCCCGTCCCGAACCAAAGGCATCCGGGGAGACGAAACCCTCCACTAAACGCCTACATAGTTTAGTCGCTAGTTGTAATTTTATCATAGTTTAGTTATCTAAGTAACTGTTTATACAAATACAATCTTCATCTAATTCCATTCGAGCCAGAATTCGTTTCCGCCTTACCATCGTCAAATCCCACAGAATGTTTGAAATATTTCGAAGTGGTCACCAGCCTAGATTTCGTCCAGCTTTTTCCCATAGGTATGCTAGATACTATCCTGGAATTATTTTAAACTGGCACGTGAACTATCACGCGAGCTAGAACCCATTCAGCCCCGTCTCTCCAGCCCGGTATCAGCTATCGAGCTTCGACGACCTCGGCCTGAACTTCGAAAACGTCGCTCTGCTCGTTTTAACCTGGCAACCCTGAATTTTATGCACGTGATGAGCGATCGTTCGTCACATTGCACAATGCCACGGCAGCATCGAAGGCTGCTGCGGCATTAGCCGATGACTTTTGCCGTAGAACGGCCCTCGAACATGAATTTCGTGACACCAAATCCGACCTTGACTACTCCCTATATGTGCAATCTGAAATGCAACTGCATTTCTGCACGGTAGATATTTGCACCGAGAGAAATGGGTTCGTGGAAGTTTGGGTTCAAATTATCAGTTACTATAGGGTAGTAAATTCATAATATCGTAACGCCGGGGTGTGTTTGTACTTTCCATTTCAAATAATAACGACAACATTCAAGTAACAAAACTATATTTTAATTATTATACTTTTTTAACTTTTAAATTTACATTTTAATATTTTTAATTATATAAATTTAAATTATTATTTTTAAATCAATATTTCAATCTTAAATTGAATAAATCTAGTTCCGCAGGTCTGTTCGCGACGGCGTCTCGAGACATTCTCAATATTCGAATATCGCGTGGTTGTCCAAGAGACCCAAAACATCCGGTAATGTGTTTCCGTTCGAAACGGGGAATAGCTTCTTGTAACAAAACGTCGACAGCTTGTCGCGGGGTAGTTGATGTATCGATAAAACGACAACTTCTCGCTGTCGCAACAATATTTTGGCGTACTTTGTTTGAAATTTCATTATAAAAGAAATTATCTATTTAAGATAGGAAGTAGTAATTAGGTAATGTAAGGACTGTAATTTAATGAAAATACATTCTTTTTCTGTTTCAGGATGACACGCGTATAATGAAAGTGGGTGACAAGAAGAGATGGATACACGACCCTAACAGTAAGTACATCGACATTTACAACCCCTTCTATTACATTAGAAGATGCATAGAAGGTCTAATATAATTTGATGACTTAAAAGTATCATGAACTAGCACTTATGTCATACCAATTTAAAGCTTAAAGTATGATAGAAATAACTATGTAAATATAATTTATAATAATTCATTTAGTTAAAAACTACCCCCCTTGTTCGTTCGTTCGAATATTTCGCTTCCTCTTTGAAGCGTGTGTTCCTTTTTATCCGGAGCTAAATAGCCAATTACTTCGAACTTGGTGGCTAACCCACTTCTTGAAGTGCAAATTCTGTCGCCGTGGTAGAAAAAAAAAGGAAAACGAAAGAAGTTGAGAGAGAAAGGAAGAGAGCATTAAAGTTTCCGACAAAGTTTGAGGAACCTTTGGTACGCAAATTATGCAGTATTATGTTAATCGTTCGAGGGCCGGGTAACTTTTACCTATTCGAGCTGCTTTGCAATACTGTAACGAAACTCGTTCTTGATTAACTTTTCGTACAAAGCGTGCAACAATGAATTCACCCCCTTTTTTTAATCCAACCTCTCTTCTTCGTCTTTTTAATAACAACCGCGTTGAGAAATATTGAACCTTGTTCATTCTGTAATATATTATTTTACGGATTAAAATTATGCAAATTTTGAGAGTTTCAAAAAGTTCATTAATTCTCGCCCTTTATCTTTCAGTATGTATATTACACAATGAATAATTTGTTTCTATATATTGAAAATAATTTATTAGAAATACAATTAATATACAATTAGTACAATATCATTGTATTAGAAATAAAATTATCCAGTTTTTCATTGTATTTTATTACAGTTAATATGTCAATACAACATTCAATTAGAACGCCCTGAATTTTTCTCAATAAATTTATCTTACGGTGTACCGTGAGATTGGAGGTATTACATTCGACGGGAAACAAACGGATTACGTTTTCAATCGTTAGTCAAGAATAGAGAGGAAAGTGGATCAATTCTATAGGGTAAAACAAATACGATTCTTTTGTAAATTGTACGGTTAGATCAGTCTGGCGGGAACAACACACAAAGAATGAATGTAATCGTGTGTACTTGTTTCGTTATTGCTACGATAACAATTCCGTTGTTTTATCTTTCACTATGCGGTTCGTCGCACCCCCCTCTTTTTAATGCTTTGCTTCTGTTTTTGTATCTTCGTTCTTTTATTTGACGAGCATGCAAACAAGTAACGCACAAACGTTCGCCAGAGGTTTCCCCTGTAAAAAAGCGCAGTTGATTTTTTTTCCATTTCGTTTCCTCCTATCTACCGACTATCCATCATTGCTTGTTATTACGAACGTGAAAAAGGAAGCTGGAAATTTTATAGGTAAATAAGCTTACGTATCACTTAAGTGGCGCTGGAATTTTTTTAATTTATCTAATTAAAAATATTAATGGAATCATAAAAGTATTATGTAAACTTTTGATATTTATAACGTTAACAATTAAATTTACTCGAAAATCTTTGATTTTCACGTTTAAGGGTGCTAAAATCACCACTGCAATTACATCTATCTATAATGGTGTAGCCAGTACAAAAATAGTCGTTGAAGAATGCATCTCACGAGGCGTTGGAAAAATATTCGTCGCGAGCCAACAGCCAGGGCAACCAACGGCCGGAATCGATAAATCAGATCTCCTTTTTCATCCTTTCCATTCCACCCTCTATTTTTCTGCTCGTTCCTGGCGTGCTACGTGCGTTCGTTAAATTGAATCGCGTCGTGGTAGCTAGCGGCCCTGGAATCGTCGGTATGTTAGCCGCAATTACTTTGTCCCCATTCAGCAGAAATAACCGCGGAAGTCTGGCCGGTGATTCGAGGGTGGTCATAATAATAGGCCCGCGGGTTAACCCTTTGTACCTCCACCGTCGTTGCGTTCTTCTTCTATATGGTAAAACTGCAACTGCGAAAGGGTTTGAGGACGTTGGAACGAATGTCACGCGCGTTTGGCGTTGAATACTACGCCCTGATTATACTTCCAATACAGTAACGGAGGGAAAAATAAGTTTGATCGGTATCTTTTGTGTTTATATTTTAAATAAATTGTATTTGAAAGAATAAATTAAAGGAGGGTACGCGTAATTGGATGATTAATTAGATTTGATTGCAATTGCATTTCTCGAATTCTGTTTTCTATTCGAGAGGGAAATTTCTAGCGAATAAGTCTGTCAGCAGGTTGAACAATTCGTATCGTTAAATTAGCCCCCGGTGATAAATAAAATATCCGGTTTCTAATCTCGCGTGTCACGGTTGAACACAATTATTTCGATCAGGTGGAGTAATTGATGACGCGACACGATACGAGGAACGACGTAGAGCATCTGCTGACGGACTCGATTGTTCAATTTACTGTAATCGTACCACGCCTGAAGAATTCGAATTTAAATGTCTGTTCGACAAACTGATCCAATAAATTCAGCTGTCGATGATGAAAATACTGTAGGAAAGATTTGAAAGATGAATAAAAAGGATACGAAAGAAAAATATTTCTCTTTCAATACTCTGTTTTCATTATGTTATAATTGGGAAGGAAAGAAGATCCAACAGCCTATTTTATATAAAAATCACGTTCAAGAAAAAATGGAACATCCGAGGAAAGCCGGGCAAGAAAGAAAAAATCATCTCAACTTTCCTTTCACTGAAATTACACCAAGACAAATTGCAGACGTTACGGCTAATTGTAAGTTGAAGATGTAGCGGGGGTTAAACATGGCCCGCAAGCGAAGAAAGAACCATGATAAATCTTCCCCGCGGTCATAGCTTGACGCGTGTTTTAATGGCGAAATAAATTGCGAGAGGAAAGTCGTTCTCGATCCGTGTTACAACTTGTTACTTTGCTTCCAATAACGCCGCTGTAAATTCCGTCGGTGATGCGATACGTGCAATTACCTTGTATCTATATAATTTAATCGTGTTCTCGATCCTGCTACCTTATCTTCTCTGGTTATCTTTCATTCCTGCAGGCAAACGCAGGGATAAGCTACGAACACCGGTGAGGACGAACGAAAATTTTCATCGATTAAATTCTCTAACATATCAAATATTAATTTCACACTTCGCGTACGACATTCGAATTCATATGAATATTATTTGAAATTTCTTTCCTCGCTTCGAGTAATCCGGTATTCAAAATTCATACATCCATTCGCCTAAGCTGCTTTCTACATTTTTATTTATTTACGGATGCAGCATATTTTTTCACACGTGTTCTCCATTTTCTCGTGGCAACCCTCATAAACTGCCACCTTAAATCATCTCATATTCCCAGGCTCATAAAGTAAGCTTTAAAAGAAAATAACGCGAGCACCGTGTAAATTATCATTACCCCGCGTAACATTGTTATACCGTAACCGTGATTAACCTTATCTTTAGTATTTTTATCGATCCTGGTAAATTTAAACTCTAAATCATAGGTTGGGTAAGCAAAAGCTACCATTGGAGGGTTAAAGGGTTAACGGTGATGGTATCGAATTCCGAGCGTGCCAGTTTCTTCGTGCCGGTTATTGTCGATGGTTTATCTGGTTCCAGCGTTTATCCAGCATCTTCGTTATTAGCATCGTCGATCATTCAGCCCTCGAAACGTATGATCGATCGTCGCTGCTATCTCCGTTTCGCGACGTCCAATTCACGTAGAAGTCTATCCCATTTTGGCCGCATTGTGCACCGTAATTGTCAGTTGCCTAATATATGCTGTAATCGATATCGTAATACCATTCGGGGTTGGTGGGTGGGTCATCGAATATTCGGATAATTTATGGGGTACAATGGAACCTCGACTCTTAATAAAATAAACCTTTTCTCCTTACCATGCATCTACAATTAAATAGAAATAATTAAATTTAAATTTAACAATTCCATGTAAATAATTCATTTGATGAAGCCCTGATGGAAATTTTCATGCTGAGATTCAATAAGGTTGTAAAGGGTGCAAAGATTAATAATGCCTGATTAAATGTGTCGTTCATTAGCGATCCTCTTAATAAGACGAGACTGCAAGGGGACCAGAGGAGAATATTAAGCGTAGGCAGCATGTTTGTTTTAATGGGCGGTGATTATGGAAAGTGGGCCACAGCTATAACTTTTCTTTTCTAAATGAAGCCACAGAAGATTTGGGGAAAAGAGAAATATTACGCGGTTTTAGGGGAGTTCATCCTATGATCCCTTATTAAACTTTCTTCGTTGCTGGATTTATGAAGGTTTTGAATGTATTTGAATTATGGAAGAAAACTTTTATGATTTTTATTTATTTGTTTACTGCTGATATGTACAGTGGTTCACAAAATTATTCGCTCACCGTTTAAAACAGAATACCTCATTTAAAATTGGACCAAATGACTTGAGGTTTCTCGAGAAGCTGTAAAAATTAATTTACTAAGACAGATTACTAAGTCATATTTTAAGTTTTCATTATAGGCTTACATAAAACAGTTGAAAAATTACCCTTCACTATTTTTGATTACGATTTCAACAAATTGTAATTTTTTAAAACGACAAAAGCACATATCTTAGTAAATTAATTTTTATAGCTTCTTAAAAAGCCTCAAAAAGCGTTTTAAACGGTGAGCGAATAGTTTTGTGACCCACTGTATTTTGATAGCTTGTATTTCGTGGTATCTTTGATCATTACCATTTTAAGTTCCTTATAATATTTAATTAACGATTCAGTTTAGGAACTCTGTAAAATTATTCATATTTAAATTGCAATTAATATTCGTAAAAGTATTAATAATGTAGAAAGTCAATGACTGAATTATCGATAGAGATCGAATATGCAACTCGTTGGTCGTAAGTTTGCATGTCTTCGCGCGGACCAGGAAGAAAAGACAATAATGCGAGCCGACAGTTTCCACGCGAAGTGAATTGGATATCCAACGTCGATTCGACGATTCGCACGGACGTTCGATTTCTGTCAGGGAAAGGTTGGAAAACGTCGTGGCGAATTTTCCGCTTGCAAATTTATCGTGTTCGGTCAGTCAAATTCGGCTTGAAATTCGAACGGGCTAAGGAACTTACAGGCTAATGTCTTACAGGATTCGAGGAAATTTTTTAATGGAAACAGAGTATTGTTGAATAAAGAGACCAGAGAGATTCCTTCGTTCTCCTCCATTTTTGAACTTCCTTCCTTCATTCGTCGAAATCCACGTTGAAAATAAAAAGTGTATCGCGCAAATAACGGAAGGCTCCGTTACGCGTCTAATTAAAAGTTTGCCCCAGGAAGTTCCACTTACCGTGGCGAGCAACTAATATCCCCGAAAGGAGCGGAATAGCAGCGGAATTAAAGTCGACCGTACATGAATTAAGGAATACCAGCCAGTCGTTTCCCGTATTGCCCGTTTTCGCCAGGTTACACGACTATTTGCGCGGGGCAACTTCCAAGATAAAAAGATCAAATGAGGTGGTTTTTACTTAGATCGAACCCTTCCTGCGGTTTCTTCGATGCGGTTTCACTGTACATCGACAACGATGCACGGCTCTTCGCGCAAATGAAATGCCGCAACTTCTCTGGAAACATCGTAATTGGAGGAAATGGAGATTGCAAATTGAAAAAAAGAGTGAAAATATTTGGTAGACTCAATTTGATGGATTTTAGGGGCTCGATTTTTGGGGGAATTATTTAATTATAATTAATTTCTGTCGCTTTGCGTAATTAACGATGAAAGAAATTATATCACAACAGTTTAAGTAGTATAGACAAACGTATGGTCAGACAAATGGCCAATGTATAAAACTGTACAAAATAAGGGTGCACATTTTTAAATAGTATGCATTGGAGTAATTTCAATTTGTATTTAAAGGTAGATTAAGAGTTCTAATATTACCGAAAATTACTTTTCAACATTTTTTAAAATTTAATTACGCCACCCTAATTATGCCACAAGTAAACATACACTGATCTAAAGAATCACGATAATTATACTGTCCAACAAATTTTAACTTTTTTTCAATGTTCCGATCCCCACTAGGTAATTCTTATAGTGTTTTTACATTGATTACGAATTTGCAAACCGTTTTGCTCCTATACTTACAGTTTTTGAGAAATTTGATTTTGAAAAGAAAACATATTTTTCAGATTTAAACAAATTTTCTGACGTAGTTATAAAAGATATTGAAATTCTATTTACACTAAAAGATTCTGTAGACTTTCCTGAATACAACGATACCTATCTTTGATACATTATAAATGTTTAAGTATGTTTAAACGATCATTGAACGCGGAGGGACCCGGATATTTTTCAATTTATCTGAAAAAGTAGAGGTTCAGCGTAAAATCGAATTATACCACGCGATAGAGCAGATTTTTTTATGTTCTACTTCTAAACTGCACATATAGGAGTAAAACGGTTTGCAGATTCGTAAATGGCGTACAAAACATGATAAGAATCACCTAGTGGGAATCGGAACAGCAATTCACTATTGAACAGTGTTATCTATCATTGTTACACACGAAAATGCGATCCCTCTGTTATAACTGCAGATGGAATAGAGGGGTGAAAAAGCTCATGCTCGCGATCAGAGTTAATGACGAAGAGAGAAATTCAATCGAATAAAGGTATGCTTCGAAGCTACCAATATCGCTTGTCGACTATTTCCAGTCGAATGCAATTGTGCTCGGCCATTGAACGTTCACCGCGCAGCTACATCAAAGAAACGAATCATTTCGTTTGGTGAAAATCCGGATTGCCTCCTTGCGTCCACGACAGAATTAGTTTCAGCCCTCTTCCTCTCTAACCGGCAATCAACCGTAACCCGTTCGCAACTTGGAAATTTACTTCTACGGTCCAGCCCCTTCGTCGAAGGAAAAGGAAGTCGAGGAAAAATTGGGTGTCTTTGGGAAAGTAACTGCTACGTTCACGTAGAATCCGTGGAATTGGTCCAAAGATGAGGAAAAGAAGAAATTGAGAGAAATATAGATCCTCTATTAACTATTTTATTACTGATTTTATTGCTTCGTTGGGAATTGAAAATTTTCTATTTTTATTATCAAAGGTGGATAATTTGGACTATTATTTACTGTAATTTGATTTAAAAATTGTTGTCAAAAAATGGATTAAAGGGTTGAAACTGATATTTTTATTTCCATTTTTATTTCACATTGTTCTACAGTTTGTACCACTCTTGTCATTAAATAATTGCGTTGTTTGCTTTAAAACACGGAACAATAAATATAGGAAAAATGGTAGAGAATTCTGCTATCCAGAAAATATGTTACACCGAAACTGTTATGTTTTCCCATTACAATCGAATAATGTTTCGTGCAATGCACGTACATATTTCGAAGCGTGAAACCATTGCATTATTCGAATGTTTCCATGCGAAAAGAACAAATTATACATTCGAGTATGTATTCGAAAGAAAGGAAACATACACGTATGAAAATAATACCGTAAAACGCCAGGGAAATCTTGCGTTCTTTGCTGAGAAGCGATTTCGAGGAGGGTTTTAAAATTTAATAAGGTGAAACAGCGCGCGTATTCCGTGGCATCGATACGCTTCCGGATTACATAGTCGAAGCTTAATATCGACTGAGGCCATGAATTTTTCTACGTCGTCGAGCGTGACTCCTGTGAATAGCAACGGGGTGAATGAGAGTATTTGCATTTCATTTTTTAAAACATCCATTTATTTTCAAAACGTATCAATAGACTTCTATCACCAGCATCATTTATTAACTTTGTAATTTCTTTTTATTTTTCAGGCGAACTTTGTCGTCAGCTGAATTGCAAGAAAAAGGACTTGTGTTTGCTGAAGGACACGTTCACAGCTGTTTGCGTTTCCAAAAAAGAGCTTGAGAAATCAGGGTAAGTATCCTTCCGAGAATTGAAAATTTTTCTATGCACTTCTAAGGCGAATTGAAAAAATTGTATAACATAGCAGCAAACTTTGTTTCACGAACAAACAATTCCATGACTTTGATATATAAGTTCTTATAACTTGTCATATTTTCATAGGCCAGGAATCGCGTGTAACTTATTCCATTTCCCAAGAGCATCTCGGCAGCTTGACACGGAGGATCCGTTAAAATTTTTAAGATTCATGATATCGCTTTGCTCGACGTGGAATACGTTCTATCAAAGTTATCTTTCCAGCGATTTTTCTTCAAATATAATATTTCCTTTCTACAGTAAAAAATTTTTGGAAGAATAATATAACTTCGAATTTTCAAAAATTCTGGAGACCAATTCAAAAAGGAATCGACGACTATATTTTTCAGGGATATAATAATCCCAAAATCCCGGGTGATTCAGCAGAACCGACGAATGAGAACGGAAACTTCGGTCGACACGGAGGACGACGACGCCTTTTTCGACTCCGAGGACGATGACGAGGATCAGGACGAGTCCAAGTAAGTGTTCACTACTTTTATTCGACATACCTTCCTACGATTCCGAAAATCCATTGTTTCCTACGAAATCTTCCATTTTAGAGATCGTTGTATGGCTTTCACAGGGTTGTTGAAAAATTGCAATTTCAAATTGTATTTTCTCTGCGAGCAGAACAGAATGAAAATTGAAACTCTGTTTTTTGATTACTTTGTTATTTTTTTTAACTCGTATTGAAAAAAGAAATTGCACGTTTTGTTAATAAAATTCGAATGTGTATTTTAATGATTTTTCATGGAATTTGTTTGGAGACAGAAATTTAATTAAAATATTACGAAATTTTTTATATTGAAACACTGACGAGTTCAGTTTCAATTTTCCCTGCCTCGGCAGAATTATCTCGTTAGTAAATATTCCATCGATTAAAAACTTCCAAGGGATCATCTTTGATTAGAATTTTCATCGAAATCCAACATTTCCTAACGCATCAGTGTTTCTCGGGGGATGAAGTTTAAAAAAACAGGTGAAGGATGCAAAGTTGCACTTTGATTAGACAACTTTTAGCGATATTGAAACACCGAGTTCGAGGAAACTGTGTTGCTTGCTGAGTTGCAGAAATCTTTTTTTTTCCTGTGGAAAAGTTCCACGATCTGTTCGGTGATTAAACGTAGAAAAGGTTCGAGTTTCAGGAAGAATTACCATGGCGAAGGTAATTTTTGTTTCCTTCTCTCCTGGTATATGAAACGTGAAAATGTAAGAAAATCCCGCCTTTCATAAAAATAAAATTCCTCTGTTTCAAATATGAAAAAGTAAAAAAGAAAAAACTTTTTATATTCAGATTTTTCTGCTCTAATAGAGTTTCAATTGTATGTTCTTTGTTTTAAGCTTTTCGTGGGATTTCAATTGTTATTGGAAAAAAGAATTGATACCACTATTGGTGAAACAATTGAACGGAAAGGAAGCGTATAAATGTCGAGCAAACAAAAATTTGAAGATTTCTGTGTGTTCGTTTATCGGGAAAATATTTCTGAAATTACTGGTGTTTGCGATGAAATTCCTTGGATGGAAAAATATCACGCTCCATTTAACCCCGTGCTCGATGTGTGATCAACATTTCGGTATTTCTGGCAACAGAAATAGAGTCTCAAAAAAAAAACCCACTCGACGTCCGCAATTATCGTTTAATGAGACCCAATTTGTACGATATTTTTCCCCACGATTCCGGTGACTTGACGAAAGCTCCGTGATAGAAACAGGAATAAAAGAATATTCCATTCATTCATTTCGTATTCATATTCCAACGACAAACACAGCCGAGTAATTCAATTTATTAGGATATGCAAAAGTTTCCATCGCTTTTATGGCAATTTTCTTTTTTCAATATCCTGTAGATAATGGAATATTTTTAATCAAAATATTTTATCCTAATAATTGCTTCTATCCTGTTATCTCTGGTATAAGTTATCAGAGCGAAGATCACCAAAAGCGGAAGAAAAGAAAAACAGAAAAACCGAGTTCCAGGGGGGAAAAAAATACACGCAGTCTCTGTGTTGTTTTTTTTTTCAGTAGACATTTAGCAGGAAGTATTGGTTTCGTCGGTTCTCTCCGCATGTCGAACGCGTTTTCCCTCTGGCTTAGTCGAATAAAAGGTTAGCTTTATGGGTCACGTATTCACGGTTTCGTGCCTCTTAAGTTTCAATGCGATCATCCAGACAAGGGGGAAAAAACAACGGGCGTTCACCTTGCATTCGTCGCGAGTGTCGTTTATAAAGGTCCTGAAACGTGTTTTATTACCTCCAATCTGTGACCATTTCGTCTTAGTGGTCGTTCTCTATGATTATTTATAGATATTTGGATTTAGAGATTGTTTTATGATCCCATATATGACTGTTTGGATTTCATTCGAACTTTCATATTCCTTTTTATAGTTGTCACCTTCTATCATCTCAACACTATTATATTTTGAAAATTTATTTGGGGCTTTTGGAGATTCCGGTATAACCAAAGAGGATTAAAAATACTTTTTTAATATTCTATTATTAAATTAAAATATTCATAGTTTTTTCTAGCTGTTTGGCAAGAAAGAAATCTTGAAAATTAGGAACATGTCTGACCAATTATCCTTTTGTACTACTTAAAGTTTATTCCCCTTTCGCTAGTACTCTTTTCGCTTCAATATGTTTCATCTGCCGATAAGCTTGAGTTTCGTGTCTCTCGTAGAGGTTTAAAAATTTGCCAAGTCGAAATGCCGCGTTCTACAACAAAGCCAGAATCCAATATCGTCCTCTCGAAGTAGTCGGATTTCGTTGAAGCCGGCGAGGAAAGCGTGTGGCTGTTCCAATACCGTGGGGCGAATAAAAAATGAATTTCAAACGATACCGACGGAGTAACACTCGGAACCATGTGCGTTTACTTTAGCGTGAGGCACACGAAACAGGAGTTACTCTCTTTTTGCCGCGCGTGGATACGAGAGGAACGTTGAAGCCGCATCGAGGAAAATTCCACGTGGAGAACAGCTCAGACGGAAGACGAAAGATGGCTGGAAAAAGAGTGGAGGAACGTTGCCAGCGAGACATTTCTTCCTACTTAAATTTACACGAGCGAGCTGAGCATAGAGGCTTTTCCATCCGGGGTCCCTCTTTTCCTACCTTTCCTTTTCACCCTTCCCTATGTTTTTATCTTTATCTCTCCATTGCTGGATACTCTAGCCTCATTCCAACCGTGTCCTTTGAGAAAATTCTTCGTAAAATGTCGTCACAAGGGTTACTTCGAACGAGAAAGAGTATAATTTGCGAAAGGGAGCTTCAATCCTTCTCGGCTATAATGCTATACCCACTCGTTTGACCATATGTTGATATGTACTACTCAGAAAATTTATGATCTGTTCTTTCTTATCCTCAGTTACATTTTATGACTCTATAATATTTAATGCTTTAATAAAATCGTCAGAAAATAAAACAATTAAATTATTTATAGATATTTTTTGTTAAATATTTAAACATAGCGTCTTCACATTTTTATAGGTTATAGATTCAATATTTTTGAATCTATATTTTTAAAGTAGTGTAGGTGTTTTGTTCAACGATGAAGAAAAAAATGTTCGGTCAACCGGAAGTGAAACCAATAAGTAGAGGAACATTGATAGTCACCCTGCGAACTACGCAGTAGTAGAGAACTGCATGCGGTCAGACAAGTAATATAGAACTGTGTGTAGTCTGAGTCGAGTGGTATAAACCCGTATGTGGTCAGACGTGTGGAACTGAGCCGTAGATGATCGGACCAGTAGAATAAGACCTGGGTTTCCATTTGATCAGACGTTGGTTTATTGTACTTGACGATGGATATACTGATCTATTCTACTTGTCGTACGGGCCAGTACGAGCGTTTGAAGATATTTAACCTTTGTGCGACGATTTATATTATCATTGTTTGATTTATAAAGGGTATGCGGGTACCCCAAATGTTCTATGTAAAATGAACGCGAGCTGAGTGTAAAAATTTTCCAAAAATAGGAATTTGGAACAATTTTGAAGTATCCAATAGGAAAACGATAATTTTGTTAACGTCGATGTGCAAATACACGGGTTAATTATTAATTATATTATTAATCTGGTAAATTACGATTCAATATCGTAAATTGAAACGATGAATGAAACAGAAATGAAATTCATCAAGAAAAATGATTTAAAGGTAGCCGGAGCATATTTCTAAAAAGCTTTTAAAATCAGTCCGAACATAATGTATATGTTCCTGTGAAAAAGGAGGAAAAATGGAGATCCTCTCAAAAAGTCTGCCAAGTGTTACGCTACGAAGAATGCGAAGAATAAAACGAGAAACGAAATAAAGGAAACGAGAATCGCGATTTTCTCGTGAACAGAGAAAAACGTAGTCCAAACGAAACACGGTCGATTCCGAGCAACGAAGAAGGAGGTGTATTCTTTGCCCGGTCTAAAAGCGGATTTCACCGAGCACCGTTTTCCAGTTCAGGGAAAAGACCTCGACTGTTCTCATTTTCGGAAGGCCACTTTCGTCTTTCGTACTTCTCTTTGTCGCAATTAGCGACGGCTTTCGAAAACGAAAGTAACGTGTTTCGCTCGGCCGTGAAATAATATCCTTCCACGATGATACTTCGTTGAAGAATGAAAATGAAAAATTGAACGATGCAATTCATAAGTCGCTTTGAATTATATTTCCAACGTTGACGAGAAATGAAAAGATGGCTTTATTTTTTTAAATTATTATCCCGGTTGCATTCGCGTGATTCGTAGAATTTTATTGAAATTAAAATATTTGTAGAGTATCAGCGGAATGCTCTGTTTAAGCATCGTTGGACTCGTTTGTTTAGCGGATTGATTGCAGTCAATAAGTATTGATCATCTAACTTCTGAGAAAGAGTCGTAAAGAACTTTAGCTTCTCTCGTTTACGAGCGAACGTAAATCTGGGACTATAATTTATCGCGAAGTCATCCACGTTTCAAAAATAAAACTTCACAGATAGACGTTATTATCGATAAATCTTGTCAAATCGTTACGAACCTGAAAATATTCCTTCCTATTGCTGAAACACGTTAAAAATTTCGAACTCGTTTCAAACATCCCATTAAAAATTTCTACCTTCTACGGATAACTTTTATTTCGCTTCATTAATTTCAACAGTTCCGCTGGCCAATAAAGTAATTAAGCAATTGTTGGGTCAATTTATCGTTGCGCGATAAGGGTGAATGTCTAAAAGAGAGTGTGGAACGTGCGAGGGGTAGAAAAACTGGGCGTTCATTACCCGAATTCTCTGAAAAGGTCGAAAATACTGCAGGAAAGACGTCGCTGAGTTCCTTTAATGCCCGAACTTATTCCTGGTGTACCATAAAGAATCGTTTCCCAGCTTCTCCTTACATTGCCCCGGTCCCGATTCCTTCCGGGAATGAGAAAAGGGAGGCTTTCGAGCCAGTGGAACTTGTATTTACGATCTTCTAAGCGGAAACCAGTCGCGACGTGCTATCGATACCACTAGAAAGCTCGTTGCCCA